GTGTGTTTGGCCTCCTTTTCACTTTGTTTCATCTCTCCATACGCCGGGATGCTCGGTATGCTTTGCTTCATTGCCCCATACCGGGCCTCTTGGCTCGTCAGCAGCGGTTGGCTTCCTATTTGTTTTTATCGGCCACTAGGACAATTGCCCAGGCCTGGAAGAGTCCGTTTGTACTTTTTCAGGGGGGGTGCGGGATCGTATGACTACTATGATGCTCAATGAACAGATGTCGAGTATATGCAACGACTCTCAACATAAATTTTTGACAATATGGGAGCCGTGGTTGCAATATGCCTTTCCCACGCTCCCCCTGCCAGTATAGGGAGGTGAAGGAGTTTTGTATTGGCGCTCATGGACCCTTGCTCTTTGGTGTGTGTTTTTTTTTTTTTTTTTTTTCTCTTTCTTTCTTCTCTGCTTTTCTTCTTTCCTTTTCTGTTTGTTTTGATGTGACAGTGGACAGCTGTCTTTAGGTGCGATAATCTGGGTTTCACTGATGTTATTGTAACCTATGTGCCATTGATAGCCCCTACGTGGGCATACGTTTTGCCTTATTGGAATTAGAGCGTTGTCTGCTCTATTATGCATTTTCTATCGGTGCAATTGATAGCCCCTGTGTGGGCGTGTTTTGTTGCCTCTGTTTTTATACTGTTTAAAATTAATAAAAACCATTGAAATACAAAAATGAGGACCGAAATTAGCAACAGTCTTACTAAGGTGAACTGAGTCTGCTTTCGTGAACCTCCTCAGACCCCAGATGAAACGCTCCTCGTCTACCTGGCTGTCCTGAGAGTATCCCTGGGCAAGGAATTCCAAGAGCTACAGCGTAGTCCCAGATAAGAACTAGTTGGGTACTGCACCTTCTTTGGCCCAAGGGGTGTAGAAGTACTCACACTGTCCTCTAGCTTAGTGTGTTGCAGCCACTTTCAGACCTTATGCTGGACTGTCTCCTTCCCTGCTGACTGGATGTCTCTCCCAAGTAAACTGTAGGGCATTGGAGATCCTGGTGTCCAGCTCCAGCCTGTAGGTAGGGGCCTCCTTCCCAGGTTCCACACACACCAGCACCTTCCTTCAATTCATATTCCACCCGACTCCCTGCTGTTCAGGCTCTCTCACATTTAAGGGCTGTCCTAGCCACCATGCCAAGCCTCCTACCTGGGGATTGGCCAGGTTCCCTCTCAAAATGGAAATCCAGGCCTCCTCCGCCCCTTTTCCAGAAAGGTCCAGCAGTTTCTAGAATGGTGGGAGGGCTCCAGAAGCCCTGACCTGTAAAGCCTCCCAGCCTGCGCTGAGGTAACCTCACTGCCTCACTCCCAGGCTTCTAGCAAGCCTCTAACTAACCCAAAAAAAATCCTATCTACCTAGAGGGTGCTACAAACAAAAAAATGACATATGCGTGGCAGCGAAACGGTAAAGTGTTCCTAAAGCCAAAAGTAAAAATGTAATGCATTGTAGCTTACTAGTCCTTGGTGTGGTGGCTGCATTTCTTTTCTTTCAAATTAATTTGCTTTATTTTCACCTGATAATCTTGCAAATAACACATTTCTTGTCCCTGGGTGGTTACGTCAGTCCTCCACTATCTATGAAGGCATCCATAGTTGTCACCCTAGACTGCTTACCTGATATGGAATACAAACATGTCTATCTTTTAATAATCATCATAAAGGTGGCAGGGCAATTGGCAGTTTACAGATGATAGCTGGCAAGGAAGGTATTTTTTGGTGCTGCTCACAGGACAGTGACAAGGACATGGCATTTCGGGCAAGTTAAACAGGCCTTTTCTGTATTTGCTGAAAATGTGCTTTACTTGGGGAAAAAAAAAAGCCAAAAAAGCGAATGCAGCCATCCCATCTAAGCCGCAATATTTTACATTTTTGTTCTTGGGCTTAGTTATCCTTTAAAGCCCACTTCTGAAAGCGCTCCTTTGCAGCTCCATTCTGCAATCCTGGCCCCATGTAAGATACAGAAGCCTATACAGAGTTAATGATGCCACCAACTATATCATGTGACATTGTTCCAACCTGGCAATTGGTAGCTCAGGCCTGAGTACTGCACCTTAAAAGAGAAGTATGGGATTTACTTTTTTTAAGTAAAGTGTGTGTGTGTGTGTGTGTGTGTGTGTGTGTGTCCCACGCTCACTGGGGCGCTGGGCTGTGGAGGGTGAGGAGTGGATCCCAACATTAAAGTCGGATCTTTCCCCAGCCTGACCTAGCTGAGTGACGTCAGCTGAAAAAGGGTCACAAGAGTACAGAACAAACTGACTGCACTCCTGCGATGCACAGGAGATGTACAGCCAAAAGACCTTTAGCTGTACTTCTCCCTTAAGAAGTGGTCACATGACCCCCAATATCCAGAAGTAGCAGTTATTTTTTGGCAGTTGCAAAATAGGAAGGAGCAGTGCAGGAGAAATGAGTTGTTGATAAATTGAACGCTATACAGAAATAAAAAGACACAAAGTATATGTAAACCCTCACTTGTAGGACAACTCATTCATTTTAAAACATAAATAAAAGGCAAAACATTTGTGTATAGATATAAAAACCATTATAAATACTTTTTCCTTTTTTTATAAGTGATCACATTCCCTCTGTTCTCAGAGAGCTGGAGGAGGAAAAACAGCATCACACTGGTCCTCCCAGTGAATGCGAGACAAGTCTAACCATTGGAGGAGGGCAAGCAGAGTTCCCAGCACAGCCTAGGATCTGACTACTTTGCTTAGTATGGTCAGTTTTTAAACAGGAAAGCACAGAGACTGGCAGGAACAGCAGGTATTTCACACAAAGGAAGCAATACAAAGAGAAGAGGATACTTTTTCATACAAGTACATGGTACAGCAGGAACATATCAGGAATATGAAATGCTGGACTGGCATTCTTAAATGCACCTCTGTAATCATGACTACATCATTACTCCTCATGGACACTGGACATTTTTACAGCAGCTGTTTTTGGTTTTTTTTTTCTACAGCCAGTAAACTCCCCAGCATGTTATCCTATGTGTCCATACACACAGTCTGGAATCAGCTTCAGGTTTTTTGGCTAGGATGTTTTATGGCTGGAAAAAACCCCAGAACTAGTGAGTTTTTGGATGTTTTTTTATAGCAAAAAAAAATTTTGTTAAAAAAAAAAACCGCTAAAAACCGTAAACGCGGAAAAATGCAGCAAAACGCTAATGCAAAAACACTAAAAACTCACGTTTTCAATATGATTTTAGACAGTTAACACTACCAGGGTTATTAAAAATGCCTTAAATGTATTTTTACAATGCAAGCCGTGTAAGTACCGGAATATGATTTAGTGCCAGTCGCTTGTAGTCCCCTTTAAAGCAGAGCTCAGACTGGGAGAGGAAGAAGCAGAAAAAAGATCCCATCGGTTTATGTGCGGATAAGCAGCATGCTGATAGGAGGAAAGAGCAGAGTGACCGAGCATCTCTGTCCAGTCACAGGAAACAGAAAAGGTAACTGCCATCATTGCCTGGAAGAGAGACATCTAGTGGCTAAAAAAGAAAGAAGCAGTGTGCGGAGAACTGATTGAAGGTGTGTGCGTTGCAGCAGCTTTTATATTATTTTATCTTTTAATTGACTTTTATTTTATTTGTATTTTTTGGCTGCAGTTGTGCTGTAAGGGAATGGGCAAGCTAGCAGTCTGTTTCATGTATCAAGATAAAAATTGTAGTATGTCACAGTCTTCTGAAAAAAAGAGTTGACGTGTTATTTGAGTGGTACATCATCCCTGGAAATTATTCAAAAATCTTGGCAATCATGTAACTGGTTGATTTTTTTCTCTTTTTTTGGCCAGAGTCCCCTTTCAAATTAAAAAAAAAAAAAAAAAAATCAAACCATGAAGTCAAAATTGCCTTCAATTATTCTGCAAATCACCTTCCGGACAGTTCCAGCGCTGGGTATGTTTGTGTCTGTGGCGAGAGTCACGGTGGCTGACATTTCAGTCTGGGTAGTTACATGTGTTTATATTACTAATTACGCTGTTTAAGATCATGTAATAAGGCATTAAAGGAAAGTGCGGCAAGTGCAACGCCTGCAGACGGTGGGTCACACATTTTTTTTTTTTTATTTAACAAAATTATGAGGAATCTTTTAAAAGCACAACTCCTGAATAACCGAAAATGTTTCTACTGAGCAGTCAAAGCTCAACTCTTGGAAATCTGAAACTTTTACCTCCCAGCAGGGCTGGACTCGCACCACAAGGGTCAACTGCTTGTTTATTCTAGGAGTGTAAAAGCACTTTTACATACCCGGTCCTTGGCTCCCCTGGCAGACGGTGGACTGTCCCTTGGCATCATCATGTCCAATGAAGGGCTATGGAGCATTGGTTTTGATTACGTCAGGTTCTTAGACCGCTGGAGCATGGGGGAGAAGACACTATGGGGAGCAGCCTAGCACAGAGGATCAGGAAATCCTATTTTCTATACCCTCCAGACCTAAACAAGCAGTTAACCCTTGCAGTGGGAGTCAGGCTTTCAGACCTCTATATCTACTTAAAGATTATGCCTTTTATGACATTTTTGTTTACATTTTTTTTTGAAATAATTTTTTTTTGCCAGAAAATTACTCAAAACCCCCAAACATTAGATATATTGTAAGGTGAAAATTTAGAAGCTGGCCTCCTGCATTGCATGTTAATGAGGATAGCTTGGTGTCTGCGTGGGGATAGATACACTCTGAGACGATTTGCCACATGGATTTTTCTTTGGAAACCTCTAAATAATATTATTATTATTAACAATAATAATAAAAATCATTTATTATTATTAATAATTATTTATAAAACTAAAAAACTTTTTCTTTGTATGCTGTCGGAATGGGAACACATAAACATAATGGGGTTTTCTCAAATTTGACTGCAAAAGTTTCAGAATCTAGGAGCAGAAAAAAATTTTTGTAGAGTTTCTTTTTTCCAGCAGCAAAAATTCTAACTGCTCCTAAATGATATTAAAACGCTCCTTACAGCTTCCTTTTTTTCTAGCTTTTTTTCCCCCTCTACCAGGGGCGGACTGACCATTTGGAAACTCAGGCACTGCCCGAGGGCCCGGGGTCAGTAGGGGGCCCCATGAGATGCCCCTGGTACCTTTTTCATAGGCTTTTTTGAGTTTGGGCAAGGACACAGGGGCCCCATGATCCCCTATTGCCCGAGGGCCCCATGAGTTGTCAGTCCGCCCCGGTATTGTTGCTGTATTGTCTCCCGTTATATTGTAAAGCGCTGAGCAAACTGTTGATGCTATATAAACCCTGTATAATAATAATAATAATATATTTTTTAGCAGCGGTCCTAGAGAATAAAATGGTGGGTTTTGCAATTTTTTATGTCACACGGTATTTGCACAGTGTTTTTGTTTTTTTCTTTTGGGGGGGGGGGGGATACACGTTCATGAATTTTACTGCACACAAACAATACAATACCCAATTTTTTTTGCAAAATAAAAAATATGGTGTTGTGGCAAGTAAATAGATACCAAAGATGTCACGCTTTAAAAATTGCATTGTACTTGTGGAATGGCGCCAAGCTACAGTATACAAGAATCTCCATAGACAAGACTTTATAAGCCTCTACAGCAGTGGTCACTAAATGGCGGACCGTGGGGTGGAAGAGGACCGAGGAATAGTCCTGTCTGGACCACAGACATGCCACTGCAGCGGCTGGGTATCCATTTCCGGGCCTCTCACTCAGCCACCGATGTCATCCTCACAGTGGGCGGGGTGAGGAGCTGCAGATCGGGATTGAGGTGCGGGGAAGCTGGTGATTACCCAGCTTGGTAATATGTAAAGACTTCCGCTCTCTGCAACTCGAGACAGAAAGCCGGAGACTTTTCATGTTAGCAAGCCAGGCAAATCACCCACTTGGTAACATAATAACTTGGGCAGCTCCCGCCCCTCAATCCCGATCTGCAGCTCCTCCCACCCCCGCCATGAGGATGACATCGGTGGCGGGCTGCAGGCCCAGGAGAGGACACCCCAGAAGGATTAGTGCCTTTGCTCTGCCTAAGGTACCATAGGACTGTGCAGGGAAAGGATTGCAGTAAAAGGGGCACTGTGTTATGTTAAGGGGCGCTTATGTCCATGGCGTCCAAAAAGCATCCCTTTAGGTCAAAAGAAGTTTTAGACCAGCTAGAGAACAGCGATAGTAAATTAGAACCACTTGCAGAATTGAGTGATAATGATTCCTGGGGGAAATTCATCATCAGACACTGAAAACGATTTTGTGACTTTGCTCTGTGATGTGTGAACTTGGCGCTATATTTCAAATTTCAGTGTTTTTGGTTTGATTATATTATTGAATTAAATTTATTATTATATTATTTTTTATGATTATTTATTATATTATAATTTATGATTTCGTGTTTCAAATTTTATCCTACCCAGGATGTTTACTAGACTCTTGTTCGGACAGATTTCAATAAGTTATTCCTAAAAATTACAGGCCTACAATAAAAAAACATATTTCCATGCAAAAAAATGTACCGCTTTGAGCACAGAAATATGGACATAATCATACTGCTAGGGAGGTTAAGGGGCGCTGTGTTGTATAAGGGGCGCTGTGTTGTATAAGGGGCGCTGTGTTGTGTTAAGGGGCGCTGTGTAGTGTTAAGGGGCGCGCTGCTGTGTAGTGTTAAGGGGCGCTGTGTAGTGTTAAGGGGCGCTGTGTAGTGTTAAGGGGCGCTGTGTGTGTGTTAAGGGGCGCTGTGTTGTGCTGGGGGCACTGTGTTAAGGGGCGCTTTGTGCTAAGGGGGGGCACTGTGTTAAGGGGCGGGGTGCTATGTTGTAGTGCTGGGGGCACTGTGTTAAGGGGCGCGGTGCTGTGTAAAGGGACGCTGTGCTTGTGTAAAGGGGCGCTGTGTTAAGGGGTGCTGTGTTGTGTAAAGGGGCGCTGTGTTAAGGGGTGCTCTGTTGTGTTAGGGGTGCTGTGATGTGTAAAGGGGCGCTGTGTTAAGGGGAGCGCTGTGTTGTGTTAGGGGTGCTGTGTTGTAATAAGGGGTGCTGTGATGTAAAGGAGGGCAGTAATGTGAAAGGTAACAGAGGACATTGTGGGACTTCTTTAAAGAGGGGACTGTGATATACGGGGACTACAGTGCGAAAGGTACACTAACCATGATAATGTACCAGGGGATTGTATGTGTTATATCGCTGACGAGATTCAGACCCCTGCTCTACAGGTTACCAATTTAGTTTTCCAGAGGAGGTCTGGTGCTAGAATTATTGTTCTTGCTGTGACGCTCACGTCAATACCTCACATGTGTTGCGCTATCATCGTTTACATATGTGTGCGGGACCAACATGTGAGCACGAGATGCTATAAAATTTTTATTTTAATATTTATTTTACACTATTTTTTTAATCTTTTTTTTTTGCTGTCACAAGGAATGTAAACATCACTTGTGACAGGAATAGGCTGGGACAGATACTCTTTATGGAGATATCTGGGGTCTATTAGACCCCAGACCTCTCTACTGCCCTAAAAGCATCTGATCACACCAAGACAGGTGTGATCAAATGCTTTCAAGATTTAAAAATGGTGCTGTTTACTTCCAGAGAAACCAGAAGTGACAATAGTACTTGTCACTTCAAGTCTCCTGTGTCATAAAGCTCATTGGAGACCTTCTGGTCTTCCATGGGCTCTATGGTAAGCCAGTGGAACCACCAGCTTCAGTTCCGGGTTCACCATTGGGATAAAGATCTCGGAGAGGCACCGGCGGCCAGAGGGAGGAAACCCCTCCCACTGCCTGTAAGACCAATGCAGCGGCTAATTAGCCACTCAGATGGCTTCTACAAAAAAGTGGTGGTGCTGCCTTGCTTGGTCAGGGGCTGAGAAGGCAGAGTGCCTGAAGTGTCATGCTCCCTTGCTGGGAGTGGCGCCCTGGGGGTGCCAGAGTAGCACTACAGGCCCGCACTGAGAAACTGCACTAGGCCACGTCACCTCTTGCTTTTTTTGCACCACGTCTCACGGGCTAGGACTTTTGGCCATAACCAGGGCAGGTATTGTTACCAGGCTGAAAGGCCTAGCGCCAATGCACCTGCACTTTTTTAGTTTGCAGATTTTAATTTTCTCTTCGTGTGTGGCACTCTGCACTTATATATGTGTTGTCTATTTCACTGAGAATGGAGGGCATGGGCCTACCCTGAAGTCAAGACGTAGGATGTGTGGCCATTAGGTTCCTACCTTCTTTGGAGGGTTTCTTTGGAAGAGTTTCTCACCTAGTACTTGGTGGTCAGCTTCAGCCGATCATGAGGATAGGGCTCCACTGGACTTGACTAGGTGACCTGAGTGGGCCTTACCCGTCAGAAGCACTCTGGGGTCCTTCCTTTTTACGAGGAGGCCAATGACACACCCTAAGTGCACATGAACTTAAATTTATTTGGTAGAGAGAGAAAGAAAGAGGCCATACTCATCAAAGGAACATCAAAACAAAAAGGTGTCACTTTTTTTTTCCATTTAGAAAGAAGTCACAGCCTGAGTAAAAAATCCTGTCCAATGCCAGCATACTTTAGAGAAAGACCCTGCAGATGTTGGTTGAGTCTGCCAGAGCCTACTCAAGAATTAAAGCAGTTGTAGACTTATGAAGTGAAAAAAAATAACAAAGCATATTCATCTATAGTGTGAAGCTGCCTCAAGACAAAGCACCAAGTGTGATTTATGGCTGTTGTCTCTTTTCTCTGCTATCTACATTATTCATTTCTGACAGTTTATGGCAACATCCCCAACACAGGTGATGTGATTGACTGTTTCCATTATAACCAAGTAGAGGGGGTGTGTCCATTCTTTCCACTCAGGTCTCAGATTACACTTAGCTCCCAGCCATATGCTGTGCAGAGTGAGGCATCAGATCACTACCCCCTGCCTTCATCAGCTCAGAAATGCTGTGCAAATTCTGTACTTTGAACACCTCTGGAGAACACAGCGCTGCAAATAAACAGGTAAAAACATATATAAAATTTGTGTCATCTCTGAGTATCATCTGAGGCTAGTTACTTCACTGGGTATATGTTAGAGTTTACAACCACGTTAAATATATCAATTGGTGAATGAGTTTAACCTTCTGTGTTATGCAGCAGGCAGCTCATATTTGGATGTCAGCATTCTGACTGTCCCTTTAAACCTTAATGGAAGTTTATCAGTCCGGAAGGAAAGAAAAAGGAAGGAACATGCTTGTAGAAGGAAGCACAGCTATCAGATCTATAGAAACTTTCACCCTGCCACAGCAAAGATCACACTAACGTTCTGCTAGCAAAGAAATCCCTGCTGGCCCATATCAGTAGGTCTAATTATTGCCAATGATGTACAAATGGAAAACAAACAGAGCTTGGTCCAACTAAAACCAGATTTGTTGGGCTCAGTTATGATACTAGCACAAAACACTGTAGCCAGTCTAACACTTTCCAATTAAGGTTGTCACCTCAACCGAACACATTAATTACACAGGTTCTGCAGCTGATTAACCTCCTCGGCGGTATGATTATTTCCGATTTTTTTGTGCTGAAAGCGGTACCATTTTTTTTGCATGGAAATATGTAGTTTTGTATTGTAGGCTGTAATTTTTAGGAATAACTCACTGAAATCTGTCCGAACAAGAGTCTAGTAAAAATTCCGGGTAGGATAAAATTTGAAACACTAAATCACAAAATTATAATTTAATAAATAATCATAAAAATAATAATACAATAATAATAAATGTAATTCAATAATATAATCAAACCAAAAACACTGAAATTTGAAATACAGAGGCAAATTCGCACATCGCTGAGCAAAGTCGCAAAATCGTTTTCAGTGTCTGATGACGAATTTCCCCACGAATCATTATCACTCAATTCTGCAAGTGGTTCTGATTTACTATCGCTGTTCTCTAGCCGGTCTAAAACCGCTTTTGATGTAAAGGGACGCTTTTTGGATGCCATGGACTTTTCTAAGTTTCCAGGCAGAAAGAACAGTAAAAATGCAGGCAGGGCGCAGGACAAAGCACTAGGGACAAAATGTATGTGAAATGCATTGAAACAGCAATGTTTTACTATGTAATAATCATTTTTTAAAAAATGACATTTTTTTAAAAATTTCAAATTTCCCGCTCCGGCGCCCGTACGTCCCGAAGTCACAGGGACCGGAACACGGAAGCCGGATGCCAGCATCGGCCGGAGGAGATGGCCGGGGACGCTGCAGGGGACACATCGTGGGAGTGAAGGACAAGGTAAGTGCTGCAGGGACTCCCTGAGCAATGCATGGTAAGCCCGAGTGTAGCTCGGAGTTACTGCTCTTGGTACTCAAATTTTACCCCGAGCTACACTCAGGAATACCGCTAAGGAGGTTAAGGTGGTAATTAAACTCACTTGATGTCTTATCTGCAATAAATCAGCCTCAGAACCTGTGTCAGTAATACGTGTTCTGTTATAAAGGGATGAGGTGGCAACCCCATTTCCAATGGAGCTGGTGCATCTCAAAGTGCCCATTGGGTTTGTGAGCTACTATGCCATTGATGCGTGTTATTTCTGATTGAGAGATATGCATAGAGTGCCATTGCTGTACTCCACCTCTTTGGTGTAGAGCTCTTCACCCTGAGGTCATCACAGAGGACAAGGGGGCACGCTTTACATCTGGAGGAAAAGAAATGTAATCTCCAAACACGGAAAGGTTTCTTCACAGTAAGAGCTGTGCAAATGTGGAATAGACTCCCTCAAAAGTTGGTTCTGGCCAGCTCAGTGGATTGCTTTAAAAAAAGGCCTGGGTTGTTTCTTGGATACACAGAATATAACTGGATACTAACATTTATAGGTAAAGGTATAGGTATCCAATTGCCTCTTGGGGGATCAGGAAGGATTTTTTTCCCCTGCAGGAGCAAATTGGTTCATGCTTTGCTGGGTTTTTTTGCCTTCCTCTGGATCAACTGTGGGTATGGGATTATAACTTTTTTTTTTTTTTTATGGTTGAACTGGATGGACTTTTGTCTTTTTTCAGCCAGACTAACTATGTAACTCCTGAAACAGCAGGTCTGGCTGCAGGGGCAGACTGAGAACTCATGGGGCCCCCGGGCAATAGGGGATCATGGGGCCCGTGTCCTCGCCAACACCCAAAAAAGCCTATGAAAAAGCCAATGAAAAGGTACCAGGGGTATCTCATGGGGCCCCCTACTGACCCCGGGCCCTCGGGCAGTGCCCGAGTATTCGAATGGTCAGTCCGCCCCTGTCTGGCTGTCATTTTGATCCAATGGCTTCCAAACTCACAGAGGACCAGACCCTGAAACAACTGTGCAGTTGATAAGTCAGAACTGGAGATCTACCTGCTTGTCCTATGGGCAATGCCTCAGAAACTATTATGGTCAAAGTTTAGGATAACTGCCAGGCATTCAGCATTATTGAAAGGAGAAACACAGAACAGCGACAGAAGATAAAAACCACGTAGCGTGTCAAACTTGCCTCTTTTTTATTTATTTTTTTTAAATTTGATTATAGATTTAGGTTCGTCCCAAGAATGTATAATTTGCTTATTGTTGACCAGCTCATTACTTCTGCTGGAAGTTTGTTTCAAGCATCAACTACCCTTTAAGGTAAAATAATAATTTCTAAGGTTAGTTTTGAATTTTCCTTCTGCTAGTTTGAGGTCATGTCCTTGTGTTCTTGCTTTTAGTGTCATATTGAAAATACTGCCCTCCTGAACCTTCTTCACTCCCTTAACCACTTGCCTACAGGGCACTTATACCCCCTTCCTGCCCAGGACAATTTCCAGCTTTCAGTGCTGTCGCACTTTGAATTACAATTGCGCGGTCATGCAACACTGCACCCATATGAAATTTTTATCATTTTTTTGTGACAGATAGAGCTTTATTTTGGTGGTTTTTTATTTTTTGCTAAACAAACCAAAAACTGAAAAATTTGAAAAAAAAAGTTTTTTCTTAGTTTTGTTTTAAAATTTTGTAAATAAGTGATTTTTCTCCTTCACTGATATGCGCTAATGAGGCTGCAGTGATGGGCACTGATGAGGTGGCACTGGTAGTTTGCATTGATGGGCATTGACAGGCATCACTGATGGGCACTGAAAGGCAGCACTCATATATGGCACTGATAGGTGGCACTGATAGGCGGCACTGACAGGCACTGATGCGCACTGATAGGTGGCACTGACTGGCACTGATAGGTGGCACTGAAAGGCAGCTCAGAAGAGCACTGATATGTGGCATTGATGTGCACTGGTAGGCACTGATATGTGGCATTGATGTGCACTGGTAGGCACTGATATGTGGCATTGATGTGCACTGGTAGGCACTGATATGTGGCATTGATGGACACTGACAGGTGGCACTGCTGGGGCTACACTGATCATCAGAGCACACTGATCATCAGTGCCCTGGTGATCAATGTAGATTTCCCCTCTGAGGAATGCCGATTACCAGCTCTCCTCTCCTCTCGAGCTGTCAGCGTGACAGCTTGTGAGGAGAGAAATGCAGATAACCGGCATTTCCCTATTTACATGAGATCAGCTGTGATTGAACACAGCTGATCACATGACCATGCCAAAATCTTCGGCTCTTTCCGTTGATCGGTGATCAGCTGTGTCCGAGGGACAAAGCGCATCACCGATCGCCAAGCTGCGCGCTCCCGGGGCCGCGCAATGCGCGGTTTGAATGGGAAGATGTCATATGATGTCCTCCCAGAACGAGAGAACCGCCTTGCGCCCGTAATTTCCTTAAAGAATAATTCCAGTAAATAATATTTTATACATGGTTCTATTGGTCCAGCTTGGACCAATGTAATTATGTATATGGCATTCCCGGCTGATGCCTTGGAAGCTAAAACTCCTCAAAGAGGACACGGTTACTCCAGTGATTTCCATTTGCTTCTGGGTCTTGTGCCAAGTGGCTGCCCTACTGCATTCTGAACACAGGAGTGAATGCAAAGTGTTCTCTGATACTGGAGAAGGTGGGGAGCATGACACCACCATATAGTGATGGTTTAATCTATGACACCCACGCAAGCCAGGCCTTTTATTTTATTTTGGTAGCTTTTTCTTTTTAGCTTTAAAGTCTAATCTAGAAAAAATAAAATAAAAAAATGTATAGCTTGACTGTAAATCATATGCGGTGTGAGAAATGCTGTAATCCCTGCACTTTTCCTGCTCTGCAATCGCACTGTATGCAATACACTGCAGGTGGCAATACAAAGTTAAAATAATTCTAATGGATTAAGGTTTTTTTTTTTTACCTTCCTGCATTCTAGCTCCTAGATTGTAAGCTCGAAAGAGCAGGGCCCTTGAACCCCTCTCGTGTTTCGTTTTGTTACTGTATTGTCTCATGTTCTGTCCCCCCACTATAATGTACAGCGCTGAGCAAACCTTTTAGCGCTATATAAATACTGTATATAATAATAATAATAATAATTCTATGCAGGAAGGTAAAAAAAAAACCTTCTGTGTGTAGCAGCCCCCCCAACCACTTACCTGAGCCCCATCCCGATCCAACGATGTCTACGAGAGCCTCGGTTCTCTGGGGACTCGCACTCCTGATCGGCTGAGGCATTGGCTCCCGCTGCTGTCAATCACAGCCAGTGAGCCAATCAGGAGAGGGAGGGTGCATGGCTGAGCCCCGGCTCTGTGTGTGAATGGACAAGCAGAGCACAGCTTGGGAACCCGCCTGCTTGGTGCTCCCGGAGCAAGCTGCTTGCTCCGGGGGCACCCAACAGGAGGGAGGAGCCAGGAGCACCAGCGGGGGACCTTAGGAGAGGTGCAAAACCACTGCACAGAGCAGGTAAGTATGACATATTTGTTATTTAATATGAAAAAAAAACAAACAAAAAAAGGCTTTAGTTTTGCTTTAATGACACCCCAAACGGATTGCAAAGCAGTTTGGTTTGCCTACACCATATCGCGTGGATGTTTTGTACCATGTGATCTGGTGTAAACAAACCAAACTGCTTTGAGCATTGCGGCTCAAAAAAAAAAAAAAAAAGGTGCCTGTGTGTGTTTTGGTCCTATGGGGTGCGATCTGAGCCCATTCAAAATGAATACATTTTATTCCTCAACAAGCTATTATTTTTGGCTGGAGTTCGGCTTCAAACCTAGGCCACCACATCTTTTGGAGGTCCCTACAAACAGCTTCCTTATTTCTCTGAAAAGATGCCTTTCAGTTGAATGCAATAGGTAAAAGCTGCATGTTAGTTTCCATTTTCATTTGTTTCATTTTTCATGAAACAAAAAACTTTTCCAGCTGAAAAAAAAATTATATTCCTGACCAGACTGTATGGGCAACAGCTCTAACTGTGCTCTAATTGTCATTAATCAGTGCATGCATTTTCAGAACTCCATGTATCCAATACTACTTAGATACTAAAACTCCATAAATCAGCAACAAGATTGTTCTTACTGTTGTTTTAGATTAAAATCACGTTTCCTCTATATGTAATTAAATAAAAACCACATGGGATTTACATTGTGCTTCCTGCCCTGGGCTGCACTCCATCTAAGGAAGGCAGATGTGATGTATAAAAGGCAACATTGGGACGCACTGGTAACAAGGACCTTACATGAGGCTGGAAACAATATAATGGGATCTGTTCATAAATACTAAGAGTCTCATAGCGAGGGTGATAAATTCTGTGTATACAACCATCAGAAGAAATATTACTGAACAGCATCAAAAATTCTAATTTACATCCAAAAATTGTTATATTACTTAACCTTGGAATGACATCATAAACGTTGCAAAACCTAATAAAGTGTTTTCATGGGTCTTCTAAAGCTGTGCCTCTAAAGTAGACATACAGCCGTGATCAGCCTGTCCTCCAGCATCTCTGCCTGGACAACTTTTCCCTAAACACCAATGTTCACGTCGGGCAATGGTTGACATTTAGGTCCATTTCTAAATCTGAGATAATGCACTTACGGAAAAAGAATCCCGACAAAAGTACAATGTTGAGGGTATAATGTTAGCCAGAACCACAGAAGAAAAAGAATTGGGGTGTTTATTTTAGATGGTGTGGCCCAGCACTGGGGAATTTAGTAGAATTCTGGGGTGTACCAACAGAATGAAAGGGGTCCCTAGTTCACTACATTACTTTAGTTATCACTAGAAGGGTCACCAACAGGAGGATGGAGGTCCCGGTTCCCCTATACAGGTCTTTAGTTACCACGAGAGGGATAACCAGCAGGAAGAAGGAGGTCCTGCTTCTCCTATATAGATCTTTAGAGGGATGACCATCGGGAGGAAGCGGATCCTGATTCCTTTATATCAGCAGTCACTAAATGGCAGATCGTGGTCCGAGAACGGCCCCAGCAGCACTCCCTTCTGGACCGTCAGCCCACAATGACAGATCTGCTGCTGAGCAGGGTGGTCATCACGGCAATGACATCACGTGTGTGCCCAGCCCCTTGCAGCTCACTGTCTCTCCAGCTCCCGCTCCCTGCCTGTACACAAGCATCCTTCAACAAGAATCCCGACACAGCTCCTGTCTGCCCACAAGGTAGGGTATAGTCTTACAGGGGCACTCTGATGGGCACATTTAATGTTAAAAGGGTCATGCTGATGGGCACATTTATTGTTAAGGTGCACTTTGATGGGCATAACATAGAATGTGCCCATCAGAGTGCCCTTTAACATATTTGTACCCATCAGAGTGCCCCTTAATATAAATGTGCTTGTCAGAGTACCCCTTAACATAATATGTGCCCATCAGAGTGCCCCTTTCCACAGTATGTGTCCATTTGTGCCCCCTTAACATAACATGTACCTGTCAGAGTACCCCTTAACATAAAATGTGTCTATCAGCATGTCCCTTATTTTATGTTAAATGGCACTCTGACAGGCACATGTGATGGAAAGGGGCACTCTGATGGGGAAACAGGATGGAAAAAGAGTACTTTGAGTGTAAGGGGGCACTCTGACAGGAATACCTGATGTAAGGTCGCACTGTGATGGGGATACTTGTAAAGAGGCACTCTGATGGGGACAACTGATGTAAAAAGGGGCACTCTGATGGGGATAACTGATGTAAAGGGGCACTATGATGGGGATAACTGATGTAAAGGGGCACTATGATGGGGATAACTGATGTAAAGGGGCACTATGATGGGGATAACTGATGTAAAGGGGCACTCTGATGGGGATAACTGATGTAAAGGGGCATCTATGATGGGGATAACTGATGTAAAGGGGCATTCTGATGGGGATAACTGATGTAAAGGGGCACTCTGATGGGGATAACTGATGTAAAGGGGCATTCTGATGGGGATAACTGATGTAAAGGGGCATTCTGATGGGGATAACTGATGTAAAGGAGCATTCTGATGGGCACACCTAATGTGATGGAATTACATGATGTAATATTGCACTCTGATGGCGACACCTAATGTAAGAGGGCACACCCTATTCAGACCTCGGCCAGAAGAAAATAACTCAATACCCCTGCTCTATATAGATCTTTAATTATCACTAGAGGGGATCACCACCAGGAGAAAGGAGGCCCTGCTTCTCCTATATAGATCTTTAGTTATCACTAAAGGGATCACCATCAGGAGGATGGAGGTCCTGATTCCCCTATATAGATCTTTAGTTACCACAAGAGGGATGACCAGCAGGAGGAAAGAGGTCCTACTTTACCTATAGAGATCTTTAGATACCACTACTGGGATCACCAACAGGACAAAGGAGGTCCTGGGTCTCCTATATAGATATTTAATTATCACTAGAGGGATCGCCACCAGGCTTCTCCTATATAGATCTTTAGTTGTCACTAGATAGAGGGAACACCAGTAGGAAGAAGGAGGTCCTGATTCTACTATATAGATCATTCAACCCAGAAGTATGAGGATATTTAGTAGCAAAAAGGCATTGCAGACAGCTATAGATTAAAAGTATTTCATGTGAGCAATACATCAAAAAGCACATACATTTTTTTCTTTCTATAACGATAAATTTTTAACTTAAGTTCTGCTTTAAAGCGGGTCTAAACCTAAAAACAAAAAATGTATATATTGTTGCTTACTGATTCTTAAATGTGGTGGCTGCATTAGTTTTCTTGTTTTAGGCTTTTTTTTTTCCATTTATTATCACCTGGCGATCCAGCCAGTAACGCTTCCTGTCTGGGGTGGCTCCACTCTATGGGAGCCCTTGGGATGCAGCACTGTCAACCTGTGGAAAGGGTAGTGTTGAGCGCACTAGCAAATTTTGTTTTTTTTTTTTTTTTCTTTTGAGATAAAGATACATATATAAAAGCTGACCATTGTAAGCATATCAATGGTAAATCGTTTGCCTCAACACTAACTGCCTCTTTTGCTGGACAGTTTGGCCTGTTAAAGGAAGCAGAAAAATAACTGACTTACTGGAAGGATCACAGGTGAAAATAAAAGGTAAAAAAGACTAAAAAAAAAAAAAAGAAAAAAGACAGGAAAAAAAAAAAAAAAAAAGGAGTGCGGCCATCACAATTAAGGATTGGTATACTGCAATATATACAATTTTTGATTTTGGGTTCAGATACACTTTGGCGACCACATTTCTGGTGGAAAACATGCTCTTATAATCAGTCTCCTACAAACACTACTGTCAATGAGTCCTATTTGTACAGGCCAAGCTGGTAAATTACCGGATAGCTATCAACTCCAGACTAATGGTGACTGTGGTAGGGACACAAGATTGTAAGCTCCATTGATAGACAGGGACTGATGTGAACAGGCCAATGTTCTCTGTAAACCATGGTGAGATAAAGCACCAGCACTATAAAAATGACTAACATAAATAAATACAACCACATGCCTGCTTCATTGCACAGGTCTGGTGGTCATAACATAAGACTGACTACACAAGTGAAGAGAACATGAGCCTTGTAAAGAGAAAATAGCAGCAACAGATGACTACACAGAGACGATGTTTGCCAAGCTCCATACCTGACCCAGAAGAACAAATGGTGCTTGTTTACATTAGTGTCACTTCAGTCATTATTTCTACCTATTTATAAAGTCCTCAGCTGATTTGTTTATTCAGCCCTTCAGTCCATGGGGAAAGGAGCTAACAGCACCCGGTGATATGTGACGGTCAATGGTGACGTGCCAGTGCCAAGAACACAAAGGGCTGGCTTTACTCTGTGCTCCACGTTGCACTAGCATGTAATCTATGTTCATCTCTCACTAAGATTGGCCATCAGGGGGACACGTATGGTGCACAGGGAGGGCGATAGGTTGCAATGGGGGGGTAAGCCCCTGTATGGCCCTCTCTGCAGCAGCTGAAAGCCAGCAGGAGGGAGAGGAGAAGCCAGTTTTCAGCTGCTGCAGAGAGAAACATACAGGGGATTGGTTCCAGTAATTACCCCTCTGCTGTGCCAATCACCCTTCCTTCCCACATCCAATTCACCCAGCTGTCTGGACCCCCCAGCTGGTCTGGGCCCCGTACAGGAGTACTGGTGGTACCCCCTTATCTATGGCCCTGCATCCCACCAAACCCCGCATCTCCAATGTGTCTAGAGTTGACAAAGGGTCATAGGAAGAACCACTAAGTCGAGGTTGGACCATAGAAGACAGACACTCCCGGAAGTGTTTAGGTTTCTTTGCAGACATTAGCCGAAGATTGCTCTTCAATGGGCAGTGTGAGGACTAAATATTTACTCTCTTCTTTTACATGGAGAGCATTGCAACCATTTTTTTTCCTCAGCAGGGTCGCCTTAAAAGGAGATAATAAACCCTAAGTTTTCTTTTAATCCCTTCCGGCTGCAGGTATCAATGCTTGCTTTGCATGCTGCTCTTCCAACTGTTGAAATTTTAACCTTTAGTCAGCTCCCATGATCACTGCCCCAACCTTCCTGCTTGCGGTGGCTCTGCATCCTTGTGGGGTTCTATGGAGCCACCCATTCATGCATGGTCCCAACATGCACAGTCAGCCAGAGCAGGTTGCACAGGGTAGACATGCATGGTGGCAAATGTAGTCCCAACGAAGAGAGTCAGGAAGATGAGTACTTTGAGGCTTGAGAATACTTTAACCAAGTTTTCATAATAAACTCAATTTAGAAGAGCAGAGAAGGTAAGAACTTCTGTCAGGTAGTTGATGTGTCCTCAAAATGGGAGAATTGTCTTCTTTTCCTGTTCTGACACCCGTCACCTTGAAAGTAAGGAAGGCATCACCCCAACTGGCAGCAATAAAATCCTAACAGAGGTTTTTAAACCTTCCTTGATACTTGGAAATCTGCTAGGCCACAACTAGGGGATTTACCTTCACCTTCTGTTGTGGACATGGGCAGCATTTAAAAGTTGAGAGTTTTTCATAGGAAGTGAAGAAATCTTCTAAACGGGGACATAGGCAGCAGTTAAAAGTTGAGTTTTTCACCCCTCAAAAAACAAAAAAAACAAAAACATTTGCTGTCAAGAATGAAAGAATCCTGAACTTTTCAAGGTAGCACCAAAACAGACAAGGACAGCCAGCCAAGTAAGCCTCCGCCTTGGCTGTTGGAAAAGTTTAGTGCCTACCTTAACGCAGCAGACGTCATCTCGGAGCACGGCAGCCAAATAAACAGCGTCTTTGATGGAACATTTACAGCCCAACTTAATAATGTAGTTTCCATATGCCCTATGAACAGAAGCGAGCTGTTATATGAGCACATGGTACTGCCAAAGAACACAGCACTGATGTGGAATACAGAACTGGAAGCATTGATGTCACTTCTACGGCAGTATGGCTGGCCAAGGGGCATAAATATAAGAGGCCTCTGGCTTTACCAATTGTTAAATACCAACTGGTATATAAAACAGTGGAAACTACTTTCATTGCCCACATCTCAAAAGTGCTGAACTCTCCTCCTGAAAATGCTAGTTGACTGGCTGTCACGTGAATCCTTTTACTTCAACACAGCCACTCTTCCAAGCTCAATGATTTTAGAACGGCCCAAGTATAACTGAGAATAATGTATGGGAGGATTTTCAAAAGACCATTTTAAGTAAGCTCCTAAAGGGAGTAAGATTTTCATTTGGGACAGAAATAAAAACATTTCTGTGGGTGTCATAGGATATCCAATTATCTCAAGCAGCAACAGAATCTATCATATCATATCAACACTTCTGGATCTTTATAGTGATCAGTTTCTGTCAGTTATTATTCACTTACCATTCCAAGTGTCTCTAGCAAACATCCCTTAACACTTAATTCTAACCCTACTTGAGCCCTTGAACTAAACCAGGAGTCCCCAAACCTATTAAACAAAGGGCCAGTTCACGGACTGTCACGCTGTTTGGGAGCCAGACTGTGCTCTGTAGGAGTAACCAAAAAAAAGAAAAATATATGACATCAGAAGGGTATAAACTGGCCCTACGTCAGAGGCCAGCAGGAGAAGTATAAAATGGCCCTATGCCAGAGTCCAGCATGAGAAGTATAAAATGGTCCTACGTCAGAGGCCAGCAGGAGAAGTATAAAATGGTCCTACGTCTGAAGCCAGCAGAAGTATAAAATGGTCCTACATCAGAGGCCAGCAGGAGAAGTATAAAATGGTCCTACGTCAGAGACCAGCAGCAGAAGTATAAAATGGCCCTGTGCCAGAGGCCAGCAGGAGAAGTATAAAATGGCCCTATGTCAGAGGCCAGCAGGGGAAGTATAAAATGACCCTATGTCAGAGGCCAGCAGGGGAAGTATAAAATGGCCCTACGTCAGAGGCCAGCAAGAGAGAAGTATAAAATGGCCCTACGTCAGAGGCCAGCAGGAGAAGTATAAAATGGCCCTACATCAGACACCAGCATTAGAAGTGTAAAATGGTCCCACATCAGAGCCAGCAGGAGTAGA